CGCTATGCGTTGTCCTTGTCTAATAACAGTAATTGCCACTTTCCATCACTGAATTTCTCTGTCCCTAAGTTGTCATATCAAATACCTTTGGCTTTTGCAGCTTTCTGGTCATTACATATTATCACAACACTTAATTTTCTTGCTGCATTTTTAAAAAATGTATGATTATTACAATAAAAACTTTTCTTTTGTTCACGTTTTTAAACATCCGCTTGAATTATTCCTACAGGAAATCACAGTAAATAATAATCATTAGCTAAAGAAAAAAAATGCTGATTGGTTAATAATAAATTGACCTGCTCCTAGTTGAAGATGGTCACTAAAACAATACAAATAATTCTCTGGGAGGACTCCAGCTTCAATTACATGTTTTGAAAACATTTCTGGAATCTTAAAAGTAGTTGGTTAAAATGAACTTTATCTGTTACTTCAGAGTGCAAGTTTTGAATACTGATTTAATCCTTGATTGGACAACTGAATGCACATGCAGACCTCTCTCTCTTTGTAGAGGCCAGCTGACTTCAGGAGCCTCAGTGTGCTCCACAAGTGTGGTGCTTCCTGTCTTTGGTAACTGGGGCGTTAAAGGTGTGCACATCAAATCACTTTGCTTGACAGGCTAACACAAGTATACACTTGAATTTGGAGAGAGTGGAACTCTTCATCATTAAAAAAAGATATTTAATGTGAAAAACCTCTATTATTGAAGATAAGTTTCTTTGCCTTGTTGGTGATTCATTCCTCTTATTTCATTACAAAGACTTGATTCAAGGCAAAGAGTGCTGTCTTCCAATGTTTTACATTTATAATTTATGAACAGTTAATTGTAGTTTGACGATCTTTTAAGTTGAACTCCCTCCCACTCATGTGAGGTGACAAATGTTCCTGTGAGAGTATTGTGAATGATAGTGATGATTTCTGACTTTCTCATCTGGGTCTGTTGAATTCAACCACTGCAGCTCATTTTCAAGCAGTTTCTGTAAACTATGTGATGGCAGCAACAAATTATCCTTGTCATGCAGATACAATTTTTCATTTTCACACACAACTCATTAACATACAGTGAATTTTATTTTCATTCTTGAATTTTACTGTCTTTTTTTTTTTTGCATGTTGGAAAGGTGACATGCTTTGGAAATGTTCAGGACAATTAGACTAAAAAAAGTCATAATTGTAAATGAGTTGTATTAATGAATTCATATTCCTTCCTTATCCTGCTTAGTGTGTTTTTTTAAATTATTTGTTATTTAAGTATTTGAATTATAGCTGTCCCCTCTCTTCAACATGTAGGCTGTTAAGGAAAGTTGTACATAGTAAAGAAAATTCCCACATAAAACAGAAGATTCCTTAAGAGCACTCAGACTTCTCTGACTTTTTACCTGAATTGATTTTTATATAGTTGTAAAGGACTTTAGGGAATTAAAACATTTCTTAGGATGTTCTGAAGAGCACCCTAAGAACATTTTCTAGATTTGCTGAAATTGAGAGCCCAATTATAGTCCCCAATTTTAGATGTCAGAGTTAAGGAACTAATTTTTACTGATCTGTCCACAGCAGGTATACATTGTTCATCCAGAAGTACTGATTTCTTTCACCGCTCAGTACATTTGGCCCCAGTTCCTCAGCTTATTCTGTTTATATTAAGACTAAATTTGTTTAAGAACTGCACCTATTAGTTCTTGGGCTAGCCAACATGCCGTGAGTTGCCAGTATGCCTGGAAGATACTGGTTTTACCTCTGCCACTGATGTTTTTCTTTTTTTTTTTCTTTTCTCTATCCTGCCCATAGTGTGCTATCATGCTTAGTGTGGCTGTACCCCTTGTGGGTACATGGCTCTGTTTCTCTATTACATGGAGAATGCACAAAGACTTATTCTGGGTTTTGGTCTCCACCCCCAAGTGTTTGCAGTTTGTGTGTACTCCATAGCAGTGGCGGAGCCTTGGTTTTGTAATGGACCACAGAGCCCTGGCAGGTGAATTGCTGCTAGTTCTCATTTTTCTGCAGCTTTGTTTCTTGACAGTAGGACATTTAATTGTGTGACTTTTGTGAGGCAGATAATGCTCAGGTCAGCATATGGGTGTGCTCAAGGGGGAAGGCCTGCTTCCTAGGTGTAGTGGGATACCTGTTCTGGCTGCTCTCCTGGGAGCTGTCTGTACTCCTTTGCCCTCAACTTGATACCTACGTGGCTACTTTAAGTAAGTCATATTGGTTCTGCTTAAATTACATAATAAATTATAGAAATAGCAGTATGTACAGGTCAGAATGGTGTTGGAACATGTCTGGTGTATTTCAGGTCCTTTGTGAGATGTGGGCTCTACCATTAATTTTGCCTTAGTATTTGGCACAGGTCAGCACGGCTGCTACAGGAGCTGCCTGTTCCTAATGCTGCTTTAACAAGCAGAATCCTGATTTTCAGATGTGGAAACTGAACTTCGTTTTCAAATATGCAACAAGATCAGATGAGCTGTTGTTTTATTAGTGCATGCTCCCAGTGGAGCAAACCCATCAACGCTAGCTTCCTTTAGCTCTTAAAGCCTTGTGTAAAATCAGATTTCATTTACAGTTTCATCTGTTCCGTATTATAGCTAGTCTTTATCAACCTGTTAATGGCATCTGTCCTTCACCTGTTTTTTTGCTATACAGATGCTGCTGCTAGCAGTGATCAGATCACCTGTGTTACTGTATTTAAGCACATTCAGTACAGCATGTGACTGCTAAATGTGGCTATGACAAGTACTGAGAACAGTAGCAAGTAGAAGGCAGGCAGAGTATTTTCTGTTTTCAAGCTGTGATCATGAAAATACGTGAGTTCATCAAAGATGTGAAGAATAGAGATGCTGTTCTGGGGGTGGGGGGGTGAAATGAAAACTATTTCAGTATTTAGTGGGAATGTGAACCTATATAGGCTGTAAAAGCAACTTTTTCATGGTCTCAGTTTTTGACAGCTTTGTTTTTCTGAGAGATGGATTGTTTCTCTGTCAGCCTCCCTTCTGTGGCTACAGAGAGCTGTAGTGGAAAGAACAAAGGGAAATCAAATGTACCTTACTCATAAAACATGATGCGCTTTAATGAAATAGTATGTGGTTGAAGATCAAAACTATTTTTCCAAGCAAATAGCTTTTTTTCAATTAGGCTCAGTACAGGATCAAACAAAATACCTATGTCAGAGGAGATAGGAATACATTCTCCTTAGTTTCTAAGGCAGCCTCATAAGAAGCGATATTTTCTGTGTTTTGTTTGGAAACTTTTACAGCTATCCTCAGATACATTACTCCTTGTGTTGAAAAAGCTTTTCTAGCTAACTACCTCTTAATTCATAACAATGCAGTGTCCTTGGGGTTGCTGTTATACCTCTAGAAGTGTGGTATCAGTCACTCCAAATCACTTCATTTAGAAACCAGGTCTTAAATTCCAGTTAGTGAGCAGCTATTGCCTTCTGGTGCACACTGCTGTTAGGGAACAGTTTTTCTAACTACCTCATGAGAAAAACCTATGCAGAACAGAATGCTTAACAGAAAGAGGTAATCATATTGAATTGAATTCCAGTCCTATTAGAAGTTAACTAAAAAAAAAGTCACAGAGAATTGAGTGACTGGGAGAATGTTAATGATGTTTGATTGCTGTCATTGTCCATCCACTTTTGTACTTCATTGTTTTTCTGTGAAGGCTGGCTTGGTGTCTTTGCAGTGAAAGAGATTTGGGTTTGGCTTATTTAGACTTCAGACTTTATTGAGAGGAGTTGTCTGATGTCATGATTCGTGTCTAATTTACTCAGCAGCATTAGTATAGATTTGCCCTGGTAAGGACCACACAATTTCTACATGATGCCCTAACTCTTGAGCTGCATGTAAAGAACAAGTATTTACCATTTTAACCTGCTTTGATACATGTTTGACAAAATGTTGCTGGTTCTGTTTCTAATAGGAAAGAGAAACTCTCCAGAAGCAGCTGGATGAGGCAAACAGAGAAGCACAAAAATACCGTCAGCAGCTTCTGAAGAAAGAGCAAGAAGCAGAGGCCTATCGGCAGAAGTTAGAGGCAATGAACCGCCTCCAGACTAATAAAGAAGCTGTTTAATAAAAAAGAACATACTGCAAAGCCTGTTACTTTCAAAAACCTGCAGTACAATCTTGAACTGTTCTCTGTATAGGTGCAGACACAGGATTACATGATGAGAAGATGCTACAAGTCGATAACTGGACTTAAGCCGTGAGCTCTGATGAATTTCTTGTAACATAAAAACTCTGAATTTAGAAATTGTGAAAAGTATTTAAAATGAAATACTGTAAATAGTTGTTTTTTTTACAGTTTCAAAATGAGTTGATAAATCTTTTTGAAGGGATCCAGAAACACGAAGCCAATGTTTTTGTGAAATTTTTGATTTTAATATGAATCTAACTTCTGAAAAACAGAACAGTTTTAAGGGTGATATTGATTCATCTGACAACTTGAAAATGAATTATGTGACAAAAGGAATTAACAGTTATTTCTACATGGTAACAACTTCTCTGAATAAGACATTTCCAGATGGAAATCTTTGTACAGCTTTAAGTAGTTGTCTCAGATTCTCTGAAAACCATTTTTTGGGTTTGTTGTTTTTTTTTTTTTAGGCGGTGAAATTTTTATATTTAATTTCAGGTATATCCAAGTAGATTTACATGTATATGAAGCTAATATTTTTTAAACTTTTTGGTTTGTACATATGCTGCATGTTTTTATAATTTCTACGCATACAACTTGCATAGGTATTTTTCAGCGAAGAGGAGGGCAAATTATGAGAGCAATGTTTAGCCTATAGGTCATTGGAAGTAAGCTAGCAGCTGGTTTTATTGTGGAAGGTATGTTTCTTGAAGAATGTAATTTGTAATTAAAAAAAAAAACAAAACCAAAATCTTAATTTTCATAAGAGATGATTTGAAGTTTGATGGTGGAGGCATTGCAACGTCACTTTGTGCGTCTTGCAGTTTTCAGAGACAAACCTTTTAAAGTTCAGAAATGAATAGAAAACAATGTCTCCACTGGAACACAACTAGTTATTTTAGAGTATTCTTATTGATCTGTTTTCCCCAATAGCCTTGAAATCATTTCAGTGATACTTTTTTTCTAAACAGACTTTGCATTTTAATTATGCAATTGGTCAAGCAATTTTTTTATGTTCTAGTGATGCTGCTCTTACCCGGCATCATTGTTCTTCACTGTGATACTGTGTTTGTGTGTGTCTGTGCAGTGATATGTTACGCTTAGGATTTATATAGCACATTACATCTTCAGAGCATCGTAAAATCTTTTAAAGAACCCTTACTGTACTGCCTGAGGCAGGTAAGTGAGTGTTATTGTCTCAGTTTTATAACTGGTATAAGCGCAACACAGGGAGTATTAAACAATTGGTCTGAGACCACAAGAATCTGTGGTAGACCTAGGAAGAGATCTCAGGAGTTCCTGGCTTCTGGTCCTGTGCTTAGACTGAGCTGCCTTAAGATTGTTCAGTGCTGTGTTACATTAAATTTTAAACTACTGTGCAGGTTCCTTTTTTTTTTTTGTAAGATAAAACTCTTTGTGCTTTGCTTTGTTGTTCCATGTTTCACTGCTTTTATGGAATTGTTTATATAAAGTTAAGCAAAAAGTCTAGTTTACCTATACTGTATACAGGACGATTACCCTTAAAACTGTACTCTGGTCTACTTTTTCTATTTTACAATTAAATATCTTTTCCACATATATGTAGTGGGGAATCAATTCTATTTCTGTTGTTTCGTATGCGTGCTAGAAGGTCAAAACCGATATGTTACATCTTCAGGAAAAATCTGGAAAAACAGTGTTAATCTTAGAAAATTAATCCTCAGAGATAGGAGGGAAGAGTGGGGAAAAAATTGCTTTATAGCATACAAAGTAAATCTTCCTCCTTCAAACTTGTGACTGAGTTCGTAGAATTGGCAGCTCTGGAAAATCTGGAAAATTGGATCCAATTTGGAAAATCTGATCCCAAAATAGTCAAAAGATCGTAGCAATCGAAAATTTGTGCTGGTAGTTTTTAGTAGGATTGCTTTCCAAGTATATTTGATTGTACTTAATTTAGTATTACAACTTGAAGCAAGCTTTCAGCAGTGACTAATTGGATATTGTTGTATTTTAGGCTTTTCTTGAAAACTTACTTTTACATCATTAGCAAATGCAGGAACAAGTTAATCAACTTAAAAGTGCTGGTTAGGCGTTACTCCAACTGAATTATTCCGTGATGAAAATAATTTGTGTCCTCACAGCCCACAGACTTAACTACAGTTTAATCTCTCTGAACTCTTAATAATGATAAGAATTTCAGCATCAGCCTGAGTGGTGATAGTGGTAATGTTCACGTCCACATGGAGAATTTCCCACGGTTTTGACAGCTTTGACCTTTGCAGCAAACAATGAAAAGAACCTTTTCTATTCATTCTTCCTGTGGGCAAATATTCTATTCCTCGTGGTCTGTAACAAAATCCTTTCAGGTGCAGGGTAGCTAAAACAAAACCAGATTTATCTCCAGTATTATTTACCCTACCTGTAATCCGTTATCGCCCATCTTATTGTGGCTCCAAACAGGACCTGTTTATTCTCTTCCGTACTGAATGAAAAGCCAACCTGGTCAAACTGTCAGCTTGAGCAAAAGACATAGGATATATGTCACGTGGAGTATTTATTGCGTACTTCAGCTCTGAAAACATTGTTAAAGTATTGGTTCTTATTTGCTGTTCCAAATTGAAATCATAATTGTAATTAGCTGCCAGCTTTCTTTGGTCAGACTTGCTTCCTGTTGAAAATAATGTATTCGTTACTCATAACGACCTACAGTCACGGTTTTTGATCACTGGGCTCTTTTTGACTTGATCCTGCCAGCTCCTTCCCACCTGCTTTGTTCTCCTTTGTGAAAGCAGTAACAGTACAGGCAAGAGAGGTTCTGAAATTCATGTGAAGTATTGGGAGTGTCTTGTTAATTTTTTTTCCTGATGTTTCCTGAGGAATGAGAGATGAAACAAGTGACTATGCATATAGTATGTTTCTCTGTGCTCTTCTTGCACTTCTTTCAGTGCCTTTATCATCTTCTTTTTTTTTATTATTTCAGTATATTAATCTGATGTGTGCATCAGCATCTTTTTATCTCTGAAACAGCTCTTTCTCAAATATCTAATCGCAGCATGAACTCAGAAAGGTTTTTACACTGTTCTACAGAAAGTACGCTGCAGGAAGAAGTAACAGCTTTTTAGAATGATGGAAGAATTCAGGCTGAATTGAGCTGCTCTGAGAGCTGGTTCCTTTCCGTATGACAAGAACATGGGAACTGCTGTGATGTATCAGACTAAAGGTCTGCCCAGCTGGCACCTTGTCCCTAGCAGTAACCCGCCACAAGCAGAAGCCTGGGAAATAGTAAAAATAAGAGTGTATTATCCCATGTAATCATTTCTCTTTCTAGAGCTCAGTCGTTTAGACTATTGAGATGTTTAAGTCCTACTTCTCTCTTTTCCCAGGACTGCCTATCAGTGTAGAGCAAGTCAGTTGCTTCTGCTGAAGATGGTTAGTGCTCCACATCGAAGTGTCAAAGATTCTGCTGCCAAAGACAGGTCAGGATGTGTTTTCAGTTCTAAATGAAACTGGAACAACAGGAACTGTGTGGCTATTCTTTCAAACTGAGAATATAGGTAGAGGATTGAAGGAATTCTGGAAATATATGGCCAAGTCTCAGTGCTTGTGCATACCATGTGTGAGAAAAGCAAGCATGGTGTGCAAAGCTGTGTTTTCCCAGCTCAGCACTGTAAAGTGGTATCACTGGAGGAGTATAACTGCTGTATAACCTAGTCTGATCAGCAAGGGCAGAATTTTCATAAAGAGAATCACTGCTTTGTATCGCAGGTCTGGAACTGGTAGCGTTCGTAATGCCTTTCCTTCCAACAGGGTGAGTATGACAGTGCAGAGGATGAAGAGTTGTGGAGATGCTCTCTTAGGAAACTCAGTTCTAGATTAATTAATTAATTTATTGTTAAGTCCTTACCTGCCCGAAAGTGCAGTGTCTAATTTATGTGCTGGTCCCTTTGTTACAATGACTACTGCTAGTGCTGATTTTAGCCTGCAGAAGAAATATGGCTGCTTTTATTCATTTTTTAAAGCTCTTCAGCTCCTTCTCTTGCCTGATTCTGATGTTAATGTGTCCATAATATCCATGATGGATTACTGCGTGTCCTTTGAAAGATGCTTGCAAAACAAGAAAGAATTGGAGCCGAGGCAGCTCATCTCATAGGTATACTATCTTATACATCAAAAGAGCACAGATGAGAATGTAAAAGCCCTCCATTGGGAGGAGTTAGATAAACACTCACCAATAACCTGCCTGCGTTAAACCTTGTGTGCAAGTCTGAGATAAAGAGAGCTATAAAGGGTGAGCAGCTAGCAGGGCACCAGACCAGTCTGCCCACAGCTCCCTGAGAGATTGAAGGCCAAGCGTGCAGAGGTGCTCCTAGGAGGAATCAGCATGGAACCTGAGGAGTACAGATGGAGAGGTGAGTGATCCTCTGCTCGTGGAAATGGGTAGCATTTGCCTCTGAGGAAGAGCTGTTGTTGGGCTGTGGGTGGTACCCAGCAGTGAGAGGGGGCTGTAGACTGTTTAACTGCCCATGTCCTTGGGGCTTTACATCTGCTGGAGTGGAGATGATGATATGTCCTAGACTGAGTTTGAATTAACAGATTTAGAGCCAGTGGAAGACTTAGACTTTTTGATCTTACATTTGAAATACTGTAGGAAAGCTCCAAAGCCATGATTCTAAATAAACTTGTACAAAGGGGTTATGCACAATGGCTCTTCCCTGACTGACACTGAGCAGTTCTGGCAATGGGGAGCAATCTTTGGTCCCAAGGCTGGAGGAGGTTGCCTCGTAATTGGAGGTATGGCATGGAGCTGTGTAGTTGTTTCCAGAGGTTGCAAAAGGGATTATGCTATAATAACAAGGAAGAATGGTGCATTAAGAGAACTGCATTTCTGTATGTTTTCATTTTATCTGTAGGTAAGAAAATCTATCCCATCTGTAATCAAACAGTCTGCATTTGCATCATGATCTTATTTTAGAAGTACACTGAACTACTGAGCAATGACAACCTTGTGAATCTGTTCAGTCTCCATGAAGTCTGTTTCAGAAGCTGTGTCCCTACATTATTAGTTGGCACTAATAACATAGACAAGGCATAAAGTTTGAGTAGTTTTCCCTAGATTATCTAATCACAGAACTAGAGATTATTTCAGGTCTCCTGATTGCTGCCCAGTGTTTCTCCTGATGAAGAATGTCTGCTCTGAATAATCGGAAACCTTCCAAAGGTCATACAGCTCCTATATGTGGGGTGCCATGTGCATATTCCCTGGTAAACAGGAACACTAATTCATGAGACTGGTTCATAATACATTGAGTTGAGACTCGTACTGTGAAATATGGCTCTATTTTCTTTGATAGGCGAAGGAATGAGTTTATTGTCAGAGTGCAGACTATTATTTTTTTTCCACTGGTGGACCATGTAGTGTTAAATGATGATTCAGAGGACTAGACTGAACCAAGTGTTGAGTAGAATTTCATTTTTTTCTTCTGTAAATTCTGTATCCATTTTAAAATTGTTAATAGATGGAGTAGGATGGAATTTTTAATGCAAATTTCTCTCTAGCCATCAGCTGGCAACAGGTTAGGCTGTGTCCAATGTTCCTGACAAAGTGCATGATGTGCCAGTACTGCAATTTGCTTTTCTCACAATCTAAACTCAAAGCATTGGCTTGCTTCTTCCAGGGAAAGAGATGGTGGATTACATTTGCCAGTACCTGAGCAATGTGAGAGAGAGACGAGTGACTCCTGATGTACAACCAGGTTACATGAGAGCTCAGTTGCCGGATTCTGCCCCAATGGAGCCAGATAGCTGGGACAACATCTTTGGAGATATAGAGAAGATCATTATGCCTGGGGTAAGAAATAAAAAGCCATTACTAACTGGGGTGAATACCTGGGAATGCACAAGTTCTGCAGGATGTGCTTTTAGATGCATGCTTACATTGGTGATCAGTGTGCAAGCTCTTTCAGGAGTACTGAGGAAGGCTATGTAATTGTGGCATATAGCTAAAAACAAGCTCTTTGATAAAATGAGCAATAGCAACTTGGTTGCAAGAATTCCCCATGTCAGGGTAAATTTTTTGGACTCTGTTGTGCAATGTTGTTCAATTCTGTTCACAATCTTTGTCTGCCTGTTAAATTCAGATAAATGCTTTTGCTATAATTCGGAATTTATCTAATAACAACACAATTTTATCATTTGATAGTGCTGCACTCCTGTTGATACTGTCTCTGTAGCTTTCTGATAGCAATTCTATAATTGCACATATTATGCTGCTATGATCCTTTCCCATCATGAAACAGACACTAATCACTACATCTTGTGCAGAATTTTCTCACGTTTTCAGAATTGACTTCCAGATAATTTCATTCTAGGTGGTCCATTGGCAAAGTCCACACATGCATGCCTACTTTCCAGCTCTTACTTCTTGGCCTTCACTCCTTGGAGATATGCTGGCTGATGCAATTAACTGCTTGGGATTCACCTGGGTAAATTACTCTTTTTATTTTGTTACTTTAGAAATTTTTCTGTGTATGTTATGGAGATTGCAGTCATTCCTTCTGGTTCTATGAGTCAGTATTAATTTTTACTGTAGACCATTGTAAGCTGTGTATAATTGAAAAACGTCTCTGTAAAAAAAGTAAGTCACATATAAAAGCAAGTATTGCCTAGTATTAAGAGTTTGAATGAAAAAATACACCACTTAGAAAGGTCTGTTTTCTAATTATTTGAATATCTCACAGTAAGCATTGTTCCCTGATCGTTTAGTCTCAGTACTAAGACTGTTGCACAAGCACTGCAGGCAGTAGAGCAGCCAGCACCCCTGACTGCAAGCTATGCTGGGCTTCATTCCAGTTCTCCTGCTCATTTGGAAAAGCACATTTTCTATTTTTCTCCTTCTAAAATAGAATGTTTGGTGGCCTGTCCTATAATGTCTGAGTATTTGGTGTCACTCTTAAATATGTGTCTCCATGTTAAGAAAGCAGTAAAGCCCATAAACCTGTAAGAACTGGGAGGTTACAGTCTCTGTACTTGTATCAGATTATCATTGCATACACAGAAGTGTCCATTTCCATGTTCTCTATTTAGTTTGTAATTCTGTTTGTTTCTGTTAAGTTTGTAAAGTAAACTCACATAAACTGATTCTTTCATGAGCGGAAAGCTTGACGCTGCAAAACAGCTTCAATCTTTTGCTGCTCTTTAAAAACCCACCTTAGCTGGAAGATGGATCAGTGACTTTCCTGCTTAGGGACTGTGAGCAGTGGTGGTGAACTGCAATTATGCATTTTTGCATCAAACAGCTTGCTACAGTCTCAACATCAAGGCCTGTGTTAGAGAACTCACTGAACATCATCATCATTTTTATTAAAATAGCATTGCGCTCTGCTGAATAGAAGTCATAGTTTTACAGGGTGGGTTGTTTATATATCCAATGTTACAAAGCTTGTAATCTGTGTTGTTGTTGCATCAAGGTGAGATTTCTCCCAAGGCAATTAAATGTTAATAGCTAAGAATTAAAATGTAGTGTGTGGCGTACTCTCTAAGGCTTAAACTCCTGCTGTGTTTGCCGAGTGAATTTACAGCCTCATTCTTGTTTAATTTTCTAGGCCTCCAGTCCTGCCTGTACAGAACTGGAAATGAATGTGATGGACTGGCTGGCTAAAATGCTGGGCCTTCCGAATAAATTCCTGCATCACCATCCTGATAGTGTGGGTGGAGGAGTATTGCAGGTAAAGAAGATCAGAGTTACTCCCATTAACATTTCTGGTTGCACTCAAGTAATTTCCTTCTTGGTGATCATTTTTCTTTGAGGCAAAATCAATGAAGTCTAAATGGAAAAAACTCCCATATTGACATTTCTTTCCCAGATTTTAGGTTTATATTTAGATGATAATGGAATAGGAATTGCTATTGCTTTTATTCGTTAATATGTTATAGACTAGGAGCAGGTATTCTTGTGAACAGACTTAAGGATAAATGAGATAATCAGACTTGGTTGTCTGTTGCTTCACTGAAGTTATTCCTGCGTAATTAAAGGAGAAGACTTATCAGTGTCCTCCCAGCAGTCCTCAGCCACATATATTCTTTTTCCTTTATCTCATGCTGACTTTGTGTCTCTGAAAGCCCCAAGATCCAAGGCCTGAACCTCACCTTCTATCAAATGGTCTTAGCAAGTACTCCCTGGAATCAATGCTAAGGCTCTGTCTTCACAGAAACAGCTTTCTTTTGGCTTGTATTACTTATAGTAGATACTAAATTTAATCTGTAGAAGAACAAAAGAAAAATGTGGTTTATTTGCTCATCTCAGTACCGTACGTGAATAATATGTGGTAGTGAAAAGGCTTTGCTTTGTGTTCCTGGCCCAGAGAGCTGCTCATCAGCTAGTGACTTTCCACTGTGTCTGAGAAAAGTAATAGGAGAACCAAAAGACCGGGTGGGTAACTGGGCACTTGAACAGTTTTGCTAAATCACTGGCAAAATAGCAGTGAAGTAGAAAAATGTTGCAGTAAATGAGCAATGTCTTTGCAGAGCACCGTGAGTGAATCAACCTTGGTTGCGCTCCTGGCAGCACGGAAAAACAAAATTCTGGAGATGAAGCTTTCTGAGCCAGACGCTGACGAGTCCTCACTCAATTCTCGTCTCATTGCTTACGCATCTGATCAAGTAGGTTACAAATTACAAAGAGAATAAATTGGCCTTTGTCTCAGGCAGACCATCAGGTGACACTGTGAACTTGCATTACTGTACAAAAAGAAAAATACAAGCATGATCAAGTCACTCTAACGCCCTTTTCTTCAGATGGGGAAATGAAATAGATATGAGATGAGATTTTGCAGTGTTCCAGAAGTCTGAAAAGGACTTTCTCAGATGACTGATTTCTGCACTTCTTTCCTGTTTCTTGCAAAACCTTTCTCCAGAAACTTCAAAAGCTATAGCTAGTGCTGATCTCATGCTACTACAAGCTCTTGTTTCTTCTCAGTCTCTTTCTATTTGGAGACGGGCTCACTCAAGGCCTCAGTGTTGCTGTCCACACGCCAGGCCTTGTTCTTGGAGAAATGCCTACAGAATGATGTGACTCTGTCTACAAACCTGTTCTATATCCTAATCTGAACAATCGCATTCCCCTGTGGAAGACAGCAGTGGGAGTCACACTCATGCTGACTTGCCCTTCATATAACTAAAAGGGCTTTTTCTTGTGAGATGTTTAAGTCTATGTGAGCCCAGAACAAGGCACGTTTCAAGGTTGTCTTACAACAGTGAGGAGAGCAAATGCAGAGACTGATCCATTTCTAGAGAGTCTTTTAAGATTTGAGTTTTGATAAATGACCCTTATACAAGATAAATATAGCTATTACTAGATTTTAGAGACCAGTGCCCAAATAAATGAATTGTATATGTTTCTTGAAATTACAATGTTGTATTTCTTTTAGCTGTTCATGATGAACAAACTTTCAGACTTACATTAATCTGGATTCCAAGAATTACCTTATCTATGGCTTTATTGCAACAAATGTATTTTATAAGGCCATAATTTATCATGTTTGTTCAGGCTGAGAACTTGCTTTCTTACTGCTCTGTTTTTTGTTGTTGTTTGTTTTTTTTTTTAAGGCACATTCTTCTGTAGAAAAGGCTGGCTTGATTTCTCTTGTGAAGATGAAATTTCTGCCTGTGGATGAGAACTTTTCCCTTAGAGGTGAAACTTTGAAGAAAGCCATAGCAGAAGACAGAAAGAAAGGCCTAGTGCCCGTCTTTGTATGTTCAGTTTTCTGATTAAGAGTATTAATACAGTGTTGTATTCTTAATGTCAACATAAGAAATATCTTACATATAACTTTGCTGTGTTAAAGTGTTTTCATTGAAGGTGAAAATGTGTAGGAGAATTTACATTTTATTGAAATAAAACATTTTAATTTCATTTTAACTATATTGATAGCCTTTCAAGTTTTTAAGTGCTGCATCCATTTATTTTAACAAACTGCCATTTATTTCATTCCAGGTTTGTGCAACTTTGGGTACAACTGGTGTCTGTGCTTTTGACTGTCTCTCAGAGCTGGGTCCAATTTGTAAGTGTCATTTATCCCTTTATTTATGAGAATTTTGTTGTAGACCCAACTCTATATCAGTTAGCGTACGTGTGATGAAAGTTAGAATTCAGTGTTTTTGTGGTTCTGGTTCCACAGCCTTAGAATAAAATTAGATTTCCAATTGCTTGTCTTGCATTTTATTTTGTTGTCAACCTGTCCACTTCCTGCACAAGCATATGCATGCTTTTAAGAGAGGAAAATATGAGTTTAATTTAGGAGGTGCTTTGATTCATTGCATAACAACAGTTTCAATTCCAACAGGTGGTGCTGAGGGACTCTGGCTTCATATTGATGCTGCATATGCAGGAACAGCATTTCTGTGTCCTGAATTTCGATTGTTCTTGGATGGAATTGAGTATGCGGATTCCTTCACTTTTAACCCTTCTAAATGGATGATGGTTCATTTTGACTGCACGGGATTTTGGTGAGTAAAGGCAAAGCAGAAAGAACACCAAAACGATAATAAGAAAATTATTAAGTCTTTCTCTGCACATTTTTTTTTTCTAAATATAGTTCATTCTACAATTGATAGGGTTAAAGATAAATACAAGCTACATCAAACCTTCAGTGTTAACCCCGTCTATCTCAGACATCCCAATTCAGGAGCTGCTGTTGATTTCATGGTAAGTTTTTAATTAAGTTGATGTTTTAAATTGCCTAGAGAATGGTCAAATGATGAGTGAGAAATTCCTCTGGAGTTATTTTTCAGGTGGTCCTACTACTTAAAAAAAAAAAAAAGTCATATGGCGATCATGAGTAGATTGTAGATTAATTAATAAAGCTTTTGGAGATTTACAGAGATTAAAGTGCACATTTGTTACAGGTGGGGATCTAGCCTAGTCTTCTTAGTTAGAAGAATCGTTTTGGTACACTCTATTGTTCACATAATTCCTATTGATGGCATTTTGAGTGATTTTCTTGTATTTCTTCTATGTGATAAAACAGAAAAAGGAATAAGTAATGTAAACACCAGGCTCTGAAACAGCTGTAAAAGGAATTACATTTTCCTCTGATTAAAACGTACTGAAATAGGAGAACTGAAGCATTTCGCATTAGATCCATCTTAAAGCAGATTTCAGTAGAGTAAACCAAAAGAATATTCAACTGCCAATTGTTTCTGCTATGATCTCACTCAAGTCCTGAAAAGATGACTGTTTTCTTGAAATCAATGGTGCTTTTCACTAGGAGTGTGTGTAGAGAGTGGAAAAAAATAAATCAATGAGTCTCTCTTGTGGTTAAATAGGACCTTGCATGTTATTGGGTAGCTCCTTAGAAGTACACTTTTGTCACTCTTTTCCATACAGTAGGTGATATTTTCTCTGCAGGGATTTTTTCTGCACGATTCTTGCTATTGACATGGGAAGGTGTTCAGGATGGCATTTAAGTATGCAAATTACACAAAGTGAAGTGAACACGCAATCCTAAATTGTAAATAGACAGATCATATATCAAGTTAATAACGGTCTTTGACTGCAAACAAATTGTTAATTGCAATATGCTGGAAATTAACTAAAAATTCTAAGCATATCCATAGATTAACACCTCACTTCTAGATGAAGGGGAATAGACAAAAAATTATTTTTGCAAATAATTGAAAAAGACTTAGACATAGGATTTCCTTGATGGCTCTTTTCTAGGCTTACCTATGTTTCAGTAGTATGAAATTTATTGTGTCAGTAAAGATTTCTGAGTTGGGTGCAGGTCTAAAGCAACAGACCATGTTCGGTAAGGGGACAGCCCTTTTGTTGCTTTTGCTTTATTGATATGCTCTTGTGTTTTCACAGCACTGGCAAATTCCACTGAGTCGTCGATTTCGTTCTTTGAAGCTGTGGTTTGTGATTCGTTCATTTGGGGTGAAAAAGCTTCAAGCTCATGTTCGGCATGTATGTGCATTAGCGGTGCAAGCATAAGTGTGTTATGTTTCATTTACCAGTGGCTGAGTTTCTTAAATTCAGTCATGCAAAGATGAGTAACAGAAATTCACTGTGTGCGCTGATTTTACCCTTAAGTAATATGTAAAGATTGACTATGTTGACAAAACATTTCCTGTACACTTCTTGGAAGCAATTGGCAGTGGAAAGCAACTTGATAAACCATTGCACATCACTGAGTAAGTTTGTAAGAGTCTTTCTTTGAACTGAAGTGGTAGCTGTTTGGGAAGCAGGCTGTAATGGATGGCTGAACACACTGCTGTGACACTTTACAGGCTTAAGTCTTCAGTGGAACGTAAATACAAGAGATCATATTGTGAATAAATGGTTGCTGCAACAGGACTTTAATCTGAGAAAAGAAACATTCAAATTTCTAGCTTTATTTAAATTCCTATATCTAGCCCAGGTACTCTTGATCACTGTCAAGGATTTGGGCAAATAGAGGCAGCATTATCCATTCCTAGTTTTGTTGTCAGTCTTAGATTACTATGCATGTAAATGAATGGAATGATGCCTCTTAAGGAGGATTGTAGTTCTTTTTCTAACAACTCAATTTAGTGTCTTACAGGGGGTTTGTGATAAATTAGTGTATAACTGCTCTTTTTTTTTTTTCCCCCTAACTGTAGGGCACTGAAACGGCCAAATTCTTTGAATCTTTGGTAAGAAGTGATCCACTGTTTGAAATTCCTGCCAAGAGACATCTTGGACTGGTTGTGTTTCGTTTAAAGGTAAAGATTGGGACGTTTGCATGTCCTTTTGGGATAATTTGACGACAACTGGTTTCTCCATGGGCATTAAGAACTATGAATAAGCTTTCACGTAAAATTTGTAATCCTGAAAATCTTGCAGATATTTGGATGACACTGGAAATTTTAACTGTTGTGTGTTTTTTTTCCTATCCATATTTAAAACAGGGTCCCAACTGGCTGACAGAAAAACTCCTGAAAGAACTGAGCAGTTCTGGCAGGCTGTTCCTTATTCCAGCAACCATTCACGACAAGTTCATCATCCGCTTTACTGTAACATCTCAGTTCACAACCAGAGAAGATATTCTGCAAGACTGGAACATCATTCAACGCACTGCAGCCCAAATCATTAGCAAGCATAATGAATTGCACCACATCTGTTCTGGTGATGAGGCAAAAATCCCTAATACAGTATCTGAGCCTAGTTCTAGTGTTATTAGTCATGCTTCACAACCCTATATAGAAGAAGGAAAATACAAAATACCTTCCAGAAAAATAGTAGGTCAGCCTAAGAAGCTAGAAATGAGTCCCAGTACATGTGTGATCAGTCAGCAAGTGGAAGGTCAAGGGGATCTAGATGATTGTTTTCCAGAAGATGTACAAGATGTTACCAAACATAAGTTAACCTCTTTCTTATTCAGTTATTTGTCTGTTCAAGGCAAGAAAAAGACAGCACGTTCGCTTAGCTGCAACAGTGTGCCAATGACTGATCTTCTTGAGCAACGTAATCCTAAGGCAACAGACACTGACAAGAAGGAGCCTCATGCAAATGCCAGAATTCTTTCCAGGCTGCCAGAAGAGGTGATGATGTTCAAAAAAAGTGCCTTCAAAAAATTAATTAAGTTCTACAGTGTCCCAAGCTTTCCGGAGTGTAGCATTCAGTGTGGTCTTCAGCTGCCTTGTTGTCCCCTGCAAGCCATCGTTTAACAAGTAAAAGAGATTGGTGCTTAAGAGCTGTCTAGGTAGAAAGAGAGCCAAAGTTTGCTTATTCATATGCAATACTATGTGAGATTTTCTTCAATATGTATGTTGCGGTAACAACCTCTGAGAAAATTCCTGTGCTTTTATTGGTGCAAAACTGTGTGTATTTATAGATTAAAATGTCAAATAAACCTTGTAGACATATAACATGAAACTCTGGTTTGTAGACCGTGGTAAAGAAAATGCTAATTTCTGCTTTATAAACCACCCTTTGCTGATGATCATAAACTAGAAACATTTTGACAAAATATGTTGGCCTCAAAAGGGTGTTAAAAATTCCACTCCCTTTGCCCTATTCTTTCTTTTTTTTTTTTTTTAAATATCTTGCCTTAAACTCTCTAGTTTGCTGTGAGGATCGGTGTGTGCAGACAATGCCAGCATCCCTTCTGCATTGTGAAAAGAGGATGATATAACCTGAGATTTTACTGTACAGTAGTGCAGTTTTCCAACTCTTGAGTTTAAAAACAGCAACCCCGCCATTCCATCTGCACTAGTTAGCTAACAGTGCTTAGGAGGCTTTATGTAACTATGTTTCAAGAAAACAAGAATGGATTTGGCCTAAAATTGTGTGTGTGTGTGTGTGTGTGTGTGTGTCTGTCTCCATCTGGCTAACTCTGAATTGTCTTAGTGTGTTCTGTTTGCAAAACTAATTGAGGAAGGGCAGTACCTACTTACATACTTCTTATTTAGAGTGAAGAGCAGGACTGGACTGGTCAACGGTCAGAATTAGTCCTGTGGAGATTTGGAGGATGACAGCAGCAATACACTGGAGTATGGAGCACCCAAGCTGTAGAACAGGCAGCTTAGGAAAGAGAAAACTCAAGAAGCAAAAAGATTTTAGGTAAGAAATTAAAAGGAAAACTAAAATCAGGCTGAGATGTATCTAGAGAAGTTCTACTCTATTAAGTCAATCTTATATTCATGGTTTATTTCAAATACCAATATTTGCTAATATTAAGAAATAGAATTTCCTGGCAAGGTTAGAATAAAGATCCCTTAAAATGTGAATATTATAAAACATGGATTTTTGGACATGCTCACAATCTGAGGTCATGTTTTTTTACCATTATAAATGTCCTGAGTTGTGTGTATATACAGGTTTATTTTGTCACCCAGAAAATAGAAGCAATCTTTAAAGACTGCTTTATTGAAACCCTCATTCCATGGTTGTACTTTATGGTACTTAAAAGTTGCTGCAAATTCAATAGCACTCTGCAAAACAAAATTACAGCTCTGTTTATCAATGTCATCATATAACTTCCTATAATTTTCTAGATTTAAAGAAAATTGTATTTAAAAAAATCCATACAGTGCAAAAGGTGAAACCTTACTAATAGATATCTAAACACATCCATTAGATAATAATTGAACTGTTAAATGTGTGGACCAATAAATCTGGATGCAAGAAGAACTGGTAAGTGAAACATTACTGAAAGACTTATTGCCCTATTTAAACAAGGCAGGAAAACACTAATGACATTACTCATGCTGATTTCAACTTTTAATCAGAAAGTGTCAAGATTTTGATTCAGAACATCATTTTATCAGGTACTAGAACTCAGTTTTGAATTTAGTATTCAAATTAAAAGTAAGATTTTGAGATCGCTAATAAGGTACATTATCAAGTTCTTAAAGATTAATATTTCTTGATTGTTGCGGCCTCTGTGCAGACTGCTGACTCTATATGAAGGCCACTAATAGAAGTCAGTGCTACTAGCTTATCTGTATCTTGTTTTCAGATCAAAGAGCAGTAGAATTTGTTTTCAGAAAAGAGCAAAAAAATGACAGTTGAAGATTGGGCAAGTCTTGTGCTTCACGTGGGTTAACAAGGCACACTGCTACCCTGACTGATCAATTGCTTTGTATAACTCAAAAATTTAAATATTGGTTGAATAATTTGGGATACTAGTATCTCCATGTTATTCCACTTGGGTAATATCAGTGAATATTCAACCTTTCTTGAAGGAGCAATACTTATTTTAATTAAATACCCTAAGAAATAGCACTAGAGTGACAATCCTGCAATAGTTTTCTAACTCAAATTTAGAATCAGTTTAGAACTTTGCTATTTCTTCACCGATACAAAACAAATCTAAGGCTTCTTGTGCAAAAGACACCTTTGTTTCAAGCTTTTATTTGTGCATGGGTATTTATTTTGAAAAGAACAGTCTGTAGTGGGAGCTGCATTAAACTGAGAAAACAATGCTATCATTGTAATTAAGGAATGCAACTGGAAATATATTTTTCACTGAGACCTTTCTGATTTTGTATGTTAAAATATGGTCTGTTTTTTTTCAAGCAGCTTATTTTTTCCAGTCCAAATTGAAACATCTGAACACAGTTCTGTGTTCATACTGGGAAATGACAAGAGCAAATGAGAGAAGTGCTGGTATAGTTAGAAATTCCTTAGTACTCATAGAAAAAATAATGCAGGCAGACATATAATAGCTACTTAGATACACTATTTTCCCTTAATCCTTATAAAATGAAGTCTCATGTGGTTTGGAAAGTGAGTGTTAACATGCCTGTAAGTATTTTCTCCATTAAATTTGGAGTTTTCCTTTAGTTGAATGCATGCCATTCCTACTCTGCCTTCATAACCTGGAGGAATCTGAAGGAATCATCATATCCCATAACTTCAGGATAACCTCTGTTTCTTGGGTGGTGATGTTTTGAAAAAGTGAGTCATTTTAGAAAACAAACCTTCAATTAGATATCCAAATGATTTCTTCTTCAGGCTTCAGCATGCTAGATGCCAAACTGTTTTCAAAGCCTAGCACTGGAATAGTAGATGGCAGATATTTTGAACATTTTCATTCTTCGGAAAATCTTAAGAACAACTTTGGAAAAACGAGTCTCAGTATTCAGAAGTACCTACAGCACTATTTAACTATGCACGGGTGTTAATTTACTTCATAATGCAACATGGAAAACCTACTCTTATTTGTTATGCTGAAAGACCTATCCATGCAGACAGAGGACAGAAAGGAGTAAGACCCAGTTAATCGCCAAATGAACAATTAATTACATGCTGCAGGGTTCAGTACTTCAGATTTTTTACTTACTACATACCATGAGGGCTCCTTCATTCCCCTTTTAGTGACTGAAGGTTGGGACAGAAACTTTTTGTTGTTTTTATAAATTTCTGGGATTTTAGATCATGCAGGAAAATCAGATCTGTGTATGCTGCATACCTATGAATAACATTATGGTTATTTCTGTTATGTTTCTGTAAATCATTTGAGAAGGACAAGAGCTGAAGTGCTCGTCTAAAGCAACTATGTGGAAACATAATATTCTTATACAAAATTTCACATTAGAACCACAGCCAGTGAGGTTTGTTTTTTTTTTCTCCCAAAACAACCGTAACTAATTTGAGCCTCCTCCTCAGAAGAGGTTGTAGCAATGCTGTGCTGTCATGCTGCAGCAGGCTTTCTGAAGATGAGATTTCCTATGCAACGTTCTCTCATTCAGATATGCTTATGACTTTTGTATGTGGGTTCTGGGATTGGTTCTATAACTCTAGCAGGGAATCATAATCTGTGGGCTGGAGAACTAAAAGCCTCAGGTTAATTGGTCATGAAAGTGTCCCAACAGCATTTTGAGGGACCTTTGACCACCTTATTGTTTAGGACCAAATTTTTTGAAAACTTACGAATTGTCACCCAATAAATATTTGCTTTACTGGCCAGCTTTTCAGAGTACGTTGTTCAACTGAGATATTCCTGGGATGCACCTTTTCCACCCTCCTTCAATTACATGCCCTCATAAATGCTTTTGGCTCTACGTAGGCACTGATTTAAGTCACACACTGGCTATCTTGTCGAGGTGATGTCACATTTCCGAGGCAATGTTTAATGATGCTCAACCTGACAATGACAACTAGAATTCAATAGGAATTATGTTGGTGTTGCTAGGCATTTGGGTAGCCTCCAAAATAAAACAATACTTATGAGTTCCTATTAGTTTCTCTAATATTTACTGAGCCCTAGCTACATTTGTCTAGAACGTTCAGTCTAGGTATTTTTGATTTAGCACTAATATTTGTTCCCTAAAAGCTTCAGGCAAAGCCCATCTAGGAAATAATCTGTGCTACACACTGGGCCAAACTAGTTTTCTTCATCCCAAGGGATGTATGTGTGTTAATCCTCTGCTAGATACAGCTTTATTTCTTCAAGTATTTCTCATCACAGAAGTTTAATAGGTAATTATCTGCCAATTAATATGTGGTTTTGTTTTTATGCCCTCAAGGCGGGCAGGCGGCAGTGTGGGTGTGCTGGGCCTTGCCTACATCTGCCCATACTCAGGTACTCTGCAGACCCCGCAGTCAGGCTGTGTGGGGACGGAAGCCACTCTCAGCTGCCTGCTACAGTTTCAGTGGGTGACCTGTTGATGAGTTTATGATTTCTCATGTATGCTCCCCTCCACAGTATCCTCCTTTCCAGCTTTCATCCTTCTGATGATTTGTGGAAGCACTTGAAACACAGATACCTTTCTGTGATATCTCCACATTAGTTGACATTCACAGAACTCTTCAATTTTCATGCATCAGTGTCTTCCAAGGGATGACATCTCAGTGTCAGCAGATTTCACACGGGAATGTTTTGGAGAAGTGGTTTTGTTCCCAAATTATGAGGTTATATTACGTTATTTTCAGCAATAACATCCACTTGTGCTGGTGAGTGTAGGTGTACAGAGGCATCAGACGAAAATGGCAAGAGAGCAGATGGTGAGTTGCTGTTTTTTAATAATAATAATAAAAAGCATACAAGTGAGTAGTTATTTACAATGTTAGAGAATGCTGACTCAGACCTTTCCCCTAAAAGTTGCTGCCAGAATGTTCCTAATATTTGCTGAAGGTATTGTCAGAGGTCCTAAGGAGAAGAGCATTCTATTTTTGGTTAGGTAAGTGGTTAGTGTTAATAACGTAAGAATTTTTGTGACTAGCAAGATATGAGGTCCTGTTTCCTTCCTACGTCTTTGGTACATACTGTCATGACATAAGGTAGAATGTAAGTTTTAAGGACTTCAGCTATTTTGAAGTAACTGTTTAGTAATACATATTCTGGAATAAGTATGTCTTAGAAGGCAGTTTTAGAATAAATGTTAGAAATAACCTGGAAAAGATGTAAATGTTGGCTGATCACTCAAATTATTAAAAAGAAGCTCTTATAGTTAAAGATTGTTGCCTATGAGAAGTTTTAATATTGTATTTCATAGGTTGGCTGTAGAAATTAAGGACATTGACTGAAAACAGTGAGTATCATGCCAAGTTTTCTAGCTAGATTAATATAAATCAAACCATTGCAGGTGAAGTATCATGTTTATTTTACTGTTTAAGTTATTTTTATGTTGTTTATAAAGAATGCCTAAGTATTTGAAAATGGAGGTTCCAAAATTAAGCTTCCAAAATCAGTTAATATTTTTAGCAATGTGTCAGTAACCTTTTACTTTTCTTAGTGTCCAAACTTGATTCTGAGCTAAGTTATTGTTTCTCGCTTATGCCAGTGATGCACAGGCATACTGGGAGGATTAGCCATTTTTTGGGACACAGCTATGATTATGTGG